AACTCCTGGGCTCAAGCGAGTCTCCTGCCTCTGCCTCCCAAGTAGCTGGGACCACAGGCGCCCGCCACAAGGCGTGGCTTTTTTTTTGGGGGTTGCAGTCATCATTATTGTTTGGCGGACCTGGGCTGGATTCGAACCCACCACCTTAGGTGTATGTGGCTGGCGCCTTAGCCACTTGAGCCACAGGCGCCGAGCCACTAAAAATGAATTTGAATTTAGAGAGGCTGAGGCTTAACAGTCGTGACCCAGCTCTTATGGGTACTTTTTCTTTTTTTTGAGACAAAGTCTCACTTTGTTGCCCTTAGTAGAGTGCTGTAGTGTCATAGCTCACAGCAACCCCAAACTCTTGGGCTTAAGTGATTTTCCTGCCTCAGCCTCCCCAGTAGCTGGGACAGTAGGCACCCACCATAGTACCTGGCTATTTTTTATTTTGCAGTTTTTGGCCAGGGCTGGGTTTAAACTTGCCACCTCTAGCATATGGGGCCAGTGCCCTACTCCTTTGAGCCACAGGTGCCACCCCACCTGGCTCTTTTTTTAGAGACAAGGTCTTGATCTGGCTCAGGCTGGTTTCAAACTCATGACCTCAAGAAGTCCATGTGCCTCAGCCTTCCAGAGTGCTAGGATTACAGGCGTGAGACACTGCACCCAGCCCATGGGTAGTTTTTTTTTTTTGGCCGGGGCTGGGCTTGAACCTGCCACTTCTAGTATATGGGGCTGGCGCCCTACTCCTTCAAGCCACAGGCGCCGCCTGCATAGGTAATTTTTTTTTAACCAAGCATTCTGAGTGTTGCTGTCCTGTTGAGCAGCTTAGTGTGGCAGGAAGGTTCTGGCAGCTGGGGTGAGAGACACCTCTTATAAAATAGTTGTGGATCTGAGCCAGCACAGATGGTGAGTCCCCATTTCCCTCCTGCAATTTTTGACTATTCATGAAAAGCTAATAGTTTCTAAATTGTTAAATTTTCAAGGTTATTTTCTTCATTCTATACTTTCCTCTTGTTCTTTTTTTTTCTTCTTTTGAGACAGTTTCACTACCTCACCCTCAGTAGAGTGCTGTGGCGTCACAGCTCACAGCAACCTCAAACTCTTGGGCTTCAGCAATTCTCTTGCCTTAGCCTCGCAAGTAGCTGGGACCACAACACCCAGCTATTTTTATTGCAGTTGTCATTGTGTTTAGCAGGCTTGGGCCAGGTTCAAACCTGCCAGCCCTGGTGTATGTGGCCAGCACCCTAACCACTTGGCTACAGGTGCCAAGCCTATTCAGGGGTTTTTTTGGTTTTTTTTTTTTTTTTTTTTGGCCAGGGCTGGGTTTGAACCGCCACCTCCAGTATATGGGGCCAGCACCCTACTCCTTTGAGCCACAGGCACCACCCTCTTTCATTTTATGATGTGAGTCATCTTCAAGTCCCTCCTGTTGTAGCTCCCACCCCTTACCTTTCTTACCTTCCCTTCCTTTCAGAGCCTCGTCTCCAAGAGGCAGCCTAGCGTGTGGTTCCAACAAGGGCACAGCCAATGCTCGTGGGCATGTCTGTGTGCAGATGTGGTGCCGCATCTCTGTCCCTGTCCCTCTGTCCCTGTCGCAGCCTCACTTTCCCTATGTAACACATGAGGAAACTGAGGCTTATTGCTGAGTGTAGAGCTAGTTCACACCTGCTCCTGGCACAGACCACACAGTGAGAGACAGTGCTTCAACAGCTGAGCCCATCCAGCCTGACCCAGTCAGCGTGTCAGGGCTCCATGTCTGCTGGAAGGAGCTGCTGCTTGCATGCTGCCTCCCAGACTTGCCCCAGTTCCTGCACAGCAGGGCTGCATATCTCTTGCTGAAGCTTGGCTTCAACCAGCAAGTCATGTTTAGACTCAGTCACCACCAGGAAAAAGAGATTCTGGTCTTGGGCGGCGCCTGTGGCTCAAAGGAGTAGGGTGCCAGCCCCATATACTGGAGGTGGCGGGTTCAAACCCGGCCCCAGCAAAAAACTGCAAGAAAAAGAGAGAGAGAGAGAGAGATTCTGGTCTTAAACCTCTGTTCTGAGCTGTGGCCTCACTCCCTGACATTCCTGTCAGCCAATGCCCAAGATCACCTGTTGATCACTGGACCAACACCACTGAAGAAGAGAGGGTTCTTTGTCCCTCCTTCTCCCAGCCCCTCGTGCTGTGATAAGCACATAGAAGTATATTTTAGGCTAGGCTCCTGTAGCTCAAGTGGCTAAGGCGCCAGCCGCATATAACAGAGCTGGTGGGTTCGAATCCAGCTCAGGCCTGCCAAACCACAATGACAACTACAGCCAAAAAATAGCCAGGCGTTGTGATGGGCACCTGTAGTCCCAGCTACTTGGGAAGCTGAGGCAAGAGAATCACTTAAGCCCAGGAGTTGGAGGTTACTATGAGCTGTGATGCCATGGCGCTCTACCCAGGGTGACAGCTTGAGACTGTCTCAAAAAAAGGGTATTTTATTTTAGCATTTGCAATGTAGTTTTCTGGTTTTGTTTTTAAAAACTAGTCTCTGGAACTTACAAGAAAGATGCTGCGAGACAAACAGAATAAGAAAAACTCCGGCCAGCACCTCCCTGTTTTCCCAGCATGGGTGTATGAGAGACCCACGCTGCTCGGGGACTTCCTGACTGGCTCAGGTGTAAGCACAGACGTGGCTTTGCCTATAGGTATGTAATGCTTATTTCTAGTGCTCCTGGAATGTCACGACACCTGTGCCTGTGTGGTCCTCCCTATTCAAAAAGCAACTCAGCAGGCTCTTCCCCTGTCCTCCCACCAAAGTGGGGGATGGACTGAGAGGCTGTGCCTGGGGGGCTCAGGATTGCATGGCAACTTGTCTCTGACAGTGACTTGTAATTCCTGCAGATTCTGCTACAGTAGTCCTCTCAGAGGCCCCTTTGAAGTGGTGTGTCTTTTTTTTTTTTTAAAGACAGAGTCTCACCCTGGATAGAGTGCTATGGTGGCATCATCATAGCTCACAGCAACCTCACACTCCTGGGCTCAAGCAATCCTCTTCCTCAGCCTCCCAAGTAGCTGGGACTATAGGCATCCACCACAGCACCTGGCTAGTTTTTGTATTTTTGGTGAGAAAACCCTGTCTCACTCTTGCTCAGGCTGGGCTCCAACTCTAAGCTCAAGGGATCTTCCTACTTCTGCCTCCCAGAATGCTGGGAGTACAGGTGTGTACTACTGGGCCAGTCTGGAAGTGCTTTTTGAATTCCTGATTCATCTCCTTACGAGTTGCACTTATTCAAGTGTAGTGGGCCCTGGTGTGCAGTTATGACTCCAGAATTCTGGGGCCATCATGCCTCTTGGTCCTGGATCTGTCCTGGCAGTTTGGAATCTCAGCCTCTGGTTCCCCACTGGGATCACTTGAAGGCAAATGCAACAACTTTTATGTCCACAGATATCTGAGAAAGTTACAAAGAAGGGAGCAAGTGAGACTGTGACTGACCAACAGATGAGGCCCCCAGGGGCCTGCGGGGGTTGGTGGGAGTGGGAGCGTGGGACCTCAGCAGAGCCTATACCCTATAGGCACACTGCCACTGGCCTCACAGGAGGCAGCCATGGTGGAGGACCTGCTCTACGTGCTGGTGGGCGTGGACGGCAGGTACATCACTGCACAACCCTTGGCCGGGAGGCAGAGCCGAACCTTCCTTGTGGACCCCAACCTGGACTTGTCCATCAGGGAGCTGGTGAGCAGGATCCTCCCGGTAGCAGCCAGCTACTCCACTGTGACCAGGTGGGCACCGCGCTCCATGCTGACCTCACCATACCCAGCCCTGGGAGTGCACCCTGGTGGGGCTAGATCACAGTCTGCTGACTGTGAAGACATCTCTCTTCTAAAGAAAGTCCCTGCCTTGATTACATTATGACTCAGCTTTGCTCCTGGTGCAGGCTGAGAGAGCCTGTGAGTCACCATTCAGGCACCTGACTCACCACCCTCAGTAGCAAAAGTTCCTCTCCACAGTGAGAGGCTCAAGTGCATCATTTGCTTCCTGTTTCAGGATGGGACTCAAGTATCTGCCCTTTTTTTCTAAATGTGTAGCTCTTGTCTGTTCTCAGACATTTGGTCCACCCCTCCAGGTTCATTGAAGAGAAGTCATCCTTTGAGTACGGGCAAGTGAACCATGCCTTAGCGGCTGCCATGCGCACCTTAGTGAAGGAGTACCTAATTCTGGTCACCCAACTGGAGCAGCTGCACAGGCAGGGCCTCCTGTCACTGCAGAAGCTCTGGTTTTACATCCAGCCAGCCATGCGCACTGTGGACATCCTGGCCTCCCTCGGTACATACCCGCTTTTGGGAGGGTGGGCAGAGGGGCCTGGTGTGAGGATGAGGCTGGGGCAGCAGTGTGCTGGCCCTTTTGTTCTGACTTTTGATTACCAGCTTGTGAAGCCAAAGCCCATATTGCTTTATGTCTTACTAGTTTGAGGAGGAAAACTTTGGAAGTTTTTATTGATAAGCTTTAATTTTGTTTCTTTTGAGAAAAAGTCTCTTCAGTCACTGCTGGGTAGAGTGCTGTGGCGTCACAGCTCACAGCAACCTCAAACTCTTAGGTTCCAGTGGTCCTCTTGCCTCAGCCTCCAGAGTAACTGAGACTACAGGCACCTGCCACAATACCCAGCCTTTTGCTTTTTTTTTTTGTAGTTTTTGGCCGGGGCTGGGTTTGAACCCTCCACCTTTGGCATATGGGGCTGGCGCCCTACTCCTTTGAGCCATAGGCGCCGCCCACCAACTATTTTTTTTAGACAAGGTCTCACTAACGGTCAGGCTGGTCTCAAACTCATCGGTTCAAGCAACCACCCGCCTCAGCCTCCCATATTGCTGGGATTATAGGCAGGAGCCACCATACCTGGCCTTTTATTGATAAACTTTAATCACCACAATGACTTTACAGTTTGAGTGGATTCCCTCAAAACAGTAAGAAAACCAGAGCCTCAGAATCCCCATCTTGGCCCCGGAAAGCAGAGCATGTGGGGGCTCCTCAGCAGTGAGCCTTCTCCTCCTGCAGCTGCTGCGGTGGATAAAAGTGAGTGCCTAGGGGGCTCGACGCTGAGCCTGCTGCACGATAGGAGCATGAGCTGTACGGGAGACAGCCAAGCACAGGAGCTGTGCCTGCACCTCACCAAGGCAGCCAGCGCACCCTATTTTGAGGTCCTGGAGAAGTGGATCTACAGGGGTGTCATCCATGACCCATACAGGTGGGGACACACTGGGAGGCCTAGGGAGCACACAATGTGGGTGGGGCGGAGTAGTTGGGGCTTGGCTGCTTCTGAGCAGCTCCTGCATGAGAGGCACGTTGGAGCCTGCATCAGCCCCAGAGCCTCTGTGGTACAAGCACAGTACATCACCTCCCAGAGAGTTCTGTTACACTGAGGCATAGTTGTCTAAATATTTTAGAAGATAAGTCTATGATGTAGGAGTATGTATTTCTTTTCTTTTTTTTTTGTGACGAAGCCTCAAGCTATCCCCCTGGGTAGAGTGCCATGGCATCACGCTCACAGCAACCTCCAACTCCTGGGCTCAAGCGAGTCTCCTGCCTCCGCCT